CGCGAGAAAAATCTTCTATAGAAACAGGTGCTTGCCTTCCTGAAGACAAAAAAGTAGAGACAGAAAATCAAAATACAAGGATAGAAGAATGAAAGAAAGAAGGCAAACACAGTCACTGTGCAAAAGTTAGACCTGTATATGGATGATCACGAACAGTCGAAGAAGGTTGCTGCTCACTTCCAGGATTGGCTGCAGCACCATTGTTTTCTTGGACGTCAGGAGTTCGGGGCCAGGCAGCTTGTGTAAGTTGCTCTTCCAACGATGGTGGCGTAGTACCACGCGGGTGCCTGTAAATATCCTTAACTAGTACACGAAGAAGAAAACTTTACCTGTTTCCCCGAGGAGGTTTGTTTACTTGATGTGCCACTCTCTGTCGAGCCTCTTCAAGCTCTTGGACAACACCTCCTAGAACAGTAACAATTTCCGGGACAAGAAGAAACATCCCTCTCCGGACGCAGACATTCCTTACGCAAATCTGCGGTTGGGAGAAAGAAAAATCATGGAAAAGACTTTAAAGGATTTCTTGAACGTGTACCTTCAAACCAGCTGGTTGTAAGACTTTGAGCTGTGGGATAGGACGATACTCAATGCCAAAAACTCGTTGAGCACCGTCGGTCATGGATAGCTTCAAGCATCGACTTCCAATTCCAGCATTTCTTTCCTGGTAGCGATCCTTGAGGCCGCAGCAAATGTCCACCGTTTCATCTACCTGTGTGCCATGCTCCCGTCGATAAAAAAAAATATAGAAAAACTTTCACTTACTTGTAGAACGAAAGGGCCCGCTAGCTCCACTTTGTGCATCGCCTGGACCCCTGGAGGAAGCACAGCATCGGTGACGAGATTGAAATCGGCAGCGAGGAGCTGCGCAAAGCATTTCTCGGCGCACAAGTCTACCGGCAACTGTGACGCTCCGATCTGCTCGCGCAGGCAAGAAGAAAGCCACTGCGCCTTAGGCCGCATTCCGCGAGAAGCCATAATCTCCACAACCCGCTCCTCCATCGAAATCCCAAAACCCTACTAGGGTTCTAAGCATCCCGCCATTTTGCTAGCTTGAAAGGTTCCAGGAATATGCTTGCCAAGCAAGGGCTTTATGGTGTTTTGCCGCGCGCACTCTCTTCTCTTCCAGATCGCGCATTGCGGCAATTCGATCCTGCCGTGCCGAGGATATTGTTCCCCAAGACGCGCCACGGCGTGACATGGGACGATCCCTGCCACTGGCTGCGAAATTCGGACGAATCAGCACGCGCAATCGACCATGGCTGGGACAAGGGAGCTGCAGCGCCAGATCCGCCAGGAAATGGCGAGTAGGATGGAGAAGGAGCTCACGTCGCTGCCAGAGCGCTGGGGGCATTGGTGAGTTCTTCCCGTTTGAACTTTTTAGTTTTTGGCTTAGACGAAAAGCTTAATGACAATGTAGGAACTATTTCGTGCAGATCCCACAAGGGAAAGAGTTTCCCATCTACTCGAGACGAAGAGCCCGCAAAGGTGGAAGGCTGAAGGCTTTCTTGACAAAATTTTCTCGACAAGAGGCAGAGTGAAGTGATGATCGACATCAATGCGCTTGCTGCGAAGCACGATAAAGTTTTGAGGATCTATCCTTCGTTCTCTCGTCGTAGCTATCATGAGGATGATCGATCGAAAGGACCTGCATTGCGATGAATGAGATTCACAAAATTCGGCACTCTGAGACCAGGAAAGGAAACAAAGCGACTAGAACAAAAATCAGGGCAGAGCTCACCACAGGCCACCGCCAACGGCCTGTGGCAACAAGTTTAATAATCCAACACATGATTCAACACAGCAATCCAGGAACATATAACTCGTCTTTGAAAGCATCGAGCTCATAAGACCAAACGTTTTGTGACGACTTAGTTTATAGCAGAACTTAGAGAAATTTTTGTCACTGCCTCGTGTAACTAAGGTTTTTCCATGGTGAAGCGCAGCTGGTGTAGTGGTAGTATCCTCCCACCTCATCCGGATGGCTTATCTCCAAACAGATAGAGTCCAATGTTTTGGGCGAGAAGACACTAGCGTCACTACTTGGCCTAGGTTCTCAGGTTGTCCCATGAAATCGCCACCGTCCATCAAAGATCATCCCAGCCGTCGATATAAACCCGTTTTGAAGAAGCTAGGTCTTCCATTCAGCAAGAAGGTCTGGGAGCGATGGCGCGTGACACCGGTGAGTTGAGCGAGGATGACTGTAGTGAGCTTCTCAAGTTTTACATGAGGGGCAAGCGGCTGGGATGTGGAGGGCAAGGGCAGGTTTTCATGATCCATAATGGCCGCAACACATATGCTGGAAAGTTGTTTCGATCGGGGAGTGATGCCGAGAGAGAAGCTCGGCTTATGTCCAAGCTTCACGCCTGCCCTGGGGTCGTCTCCTTCATGGGCTTTGTCCGGGAGAGAGATGGTGCCAAGTGCTATGGCACCATCGTTATGGAGCTGTGCGGCCCAAACCTATGCGAGGGATTGATCAACTGTGGGCCGATGAGGGAGGAGGATGCAGCGAAGACCATCAAGAAGCTGGCTGAAACGCTCAAGGAGATCCACTCCAGGGGAATTATCCACCGGGATCTCAAGCCGGAGAACATTCTTGTCAAGCTCAATGCCACTGGTGTGCACGATGTTCTGATTGGAGACTTCGGGATAGCCACAGACCTGCACAGGGAGATGTCAAAGTACTGTGGCACGGAAAAGTATATGGCACCAGAGGTGATGGCGAGGAAGGGCCGCAAGGGAGAATCACAGAACTTCTACACGGCAGCCATTGATGTGTGGGGTTTGGGAGTCATTGCGTACGAGCTGTTGAAAGGTCACAAATCGAGAATGGAAATCGATTTCTTGAGAGCGGGAGCATTTCCAACTGGTTTTGGCTCGGACCGGGCGGAGGATCTTCTCCGGGGGATGTTAGCTGTCGAACCGAGCAAGAGGGTAACGCTGGACCGTGTGCTTGCACATCCCTGGATCGTGAAGCATTGCAGCAGCAGTAGCAAGATCGAGACGACGACACGCAGCAGGCGCTGTGGAATGAAGAGGAGTCTTCCCAGCGGCAGCGACTTGATCGTGAAAAAAGCTCGTGCAGCTTAAGAACAAAAGCCAGCACCAGTTCGGTAAGCATCGTTTTTGATTGAAGAGTACAGGTACTAACTTTGCTTGCTTGGTCACCGGGTGGAATTTTTTTTGTGAGACAATGATCTTCCTGTCGAGAAAGATTTTCTATAGCAATGCAAGTACTGTCTTTGCAAGTTATGAAGTTTCTTTTCTATTCTCTTGATGGGAACAGTCAAATTCAATATAGTGGAAGGGATCGCTGATGATCCTGGCGGCAAATTGGAAGAGCTTCAACTCGCGCAAGAAGCCTCCATCCATTTCCGGATAGTCGTTCACGGCCACAACCCTATGCTGGAGAACATAAAAGATCACCACACGCTTAAGAAGAGAATATCTCATGTGTGCCTTTGTAGAAAACACCTGGTATCTCTTGAGAAAAGCTTGACGTTCTATAGCAGCACTTACATCCAACGGGGAGTGTCCGATCATCCTCTCAACCAGCTGCATAATCGGCGACCATTCTTGATTAAACAGAATTGCTCGTGGTTCACTAGAGCTTCCATTAAAAGGCTTTCATCTTCGAGCTGGTATGCATCCTTGCTCAGAAAACAATTTCTTTTCTTTTCTTTTATTACCTTAACTCGGCCTGATTGAACTACACCGGACTCCAAAAACCGCCTCTGTAGAACTGCCAGACGTAAAGGGAGGGGACTCCAGGCTGTCTGCGGCTGAAAAATGGACGTGAAGATCATAAAACTTACTGCGAAGTTTTCTTCTACTCCTGGTTTCCTGATTGGATTGGAGGAAAAGCATACGAATACGCGAAGTTCCCAGGCCGACAGGTCCGATGCTGTTCTGAAGTGAAGATAACAAGAATTATGCATGGAGAGAAAACTTGAAAGGCCTTCTTTGTGTTTACTTGGTGTTTGTTCACTGTAGGAATCCGAACCGCGAGAAAAATCTTCTATAGAAACAGGTGCTTGCCTTGAGCCAGAAAATCAAAATAAGCAAACGCAGTCACTGCGCAAAGTTAGACCTGTATATGGATGATCACGAACAGTCGAAGAAGGTTGCTGCTCATTCCAGGATTGGCTGCAGCGCCATTGTTTTCTTGGAGTTCGGGGCCAGGCAGCTTGTGTAAGCTGCTCTTCCAAGTAGTACCACGCGGGTGCCTGCAAATATCCTTAACTAGTACTTGAAGAAGAAAACTTTACCTGTTTCCCCGAGGAGGTTTGTGTACTTTATGTACCACGCTCTGTCGAGCCTCTTCAAGGTCCTCCAAGAACAGTAACAATTTCCGGGACGAGAAGAAACATCCCCCGACATTCCTTTCGCATTGGAAGAAAAGAAAATTCAAGGCAAAGACTTGTAATACTTTGAGCTGTGGGGTAGGACGATACTCAATGCCAAAAACTCGTTGAGCATCATCGGTCATGGATAGCTTCAAGCTTCGACTTCCAATTCCTTCCTGGTAGTGATCCTTGAAAATGTCCACCGCTTCATCTACCTGTGTGCTATGCTTCCATCGATGAAAAGCTATAGAAACCTTCCACTTACTTGTAGAACATAAGTGCATCGCCTGGACCTCTGGAGCGTCGGAGGAGCTGCGCGAAGCATTTCTCGGCGCGAGAGTCTACCGGTAACTGAGACGCTCCGATCTGCTCGCACAGGCAAGAAGAGAGCCACTGCGCCTTAGGCGAGAACCGTGGAGAAATTCCAAAACCCTACTATGGTTCTAAACATCCCGCCATTTTGCGAGCTTGAAAGGTTCCAGGAATATGCTTGCCAAGCAGGGTCTAGGGTTTTATGGCGCTTTGCCGCTTCTCTCGCGCACTCTCTTCTCTTCCAGATCGCGCATTGCGGCAATTCGCTCCTGCGGCGCCGAGGAGATCGTTCCCCAAGACGCGCCACGGCGTGACATGGGACGATCCCTACCACTGGCTGCGCAGTCGACCATGGCTGGGACAAGGGAGCTCCAGCGCCAGATCCGCCAGGAAATGGCGAGCAGGATGGAGAAGGAGCTCGCATCGCCTCCAGAGCGCTGGGGGGATTGGTGAGTTCTTCCTTGGTCGTTTTGATTTTTTTTTGCCTAGCTGAGGAACTTAGAAACAATGTAGGTACTATTTCGTGCATATCCCGCAAGGGAAACAGTTTCCCATCTACTCGAGACGAAGAGCCCGCCAAGGTGGAAGGCTGAAGGCTTTCTTTACAAGTTTTTTTGACAAGAACAGTGAAGTTATGATCGACATCAATGAGCTTGCTGCCGAGCACGGTAAAGTTTTGAGGATCTTTCCTTGTTTCTCTCTTCTTCCTAATTACACAAGTGTAGGCCATGCGCAGCTTGGAGTTTTTAAACTATCCAGAGACTACAAACTGTTAGCATACACGATCGACTTGGGTGGCAACGAGATGTTCACATTGTTTATCAAAGACTTGGAAACTGATAGCCTCCTCCTGGAGCACAAAACCGATGGTGTAGTAAGCGTGGAGTGGTCTGATACTGGAGAATATCTTTACTACACTTGTAGTGATGTGGCACATCGACCTCACAGGTTTCTAGTTGAAGTTTCTTCTAGAATCATTTTTTCTCGATCTCGACAGGGTTTTGTTGTGGAACTTGCGATCTAAAGATGATGACATTGCAATTTATCACGACGACAATCCAAAGAACTTTGTTGATGTTACAAGAACCAAAAACTGGCAGTACGTTTTGATTAATGTCAACTCGAAGACGTCCTCTGAGGTAATTGGGTTTCACAAATGTGTTGCTCGAGCCTCTACAGGACAGGTTTTTCTGGTATATCCGAAAACTTCAGCCACAACATTGCGGAAAGTTGCAGATAGAGTTGATGGCATCCAGTATTTCGTGGAACACCATGAAGAGCACCTGTATATTCTTACCAATTTTTTGGGCGACAAGAAGCTAGCGTCGCTAGGAAACAACTATCGGCTTGTCCGCTGCAAGACAGATAGCTTGACCTCGAAGGCGTGGGAGGTAAGTCAATTCTCGTTTTTTTCACAGCAAATACTGAAACACTTTAGGAGGTTGTCCCAGTCGAGAGCGAAAATTGGATAGAGGATATGGATATTTTTGCGAAGCATTTGATCTTATACAGACGACAAAATGGTCTTCCCATTGTGCATGATTTCAACCTGGATGTAAGCATATGGTAAAAGTTTTGGTCTCACTAATCTCTTTCCTTTCAGAGCCTGAAAACTCCTCCTTGGACTGTAAACCTTCCCTCTGGGATAACAGTTCTTACTCCTGGAGCAAACTGTGACTTCAATTCGTCTACTCTACGGTGTCGATATCTTCACTGGTGGTAAGCTCTCTTTCTTTCTTGCATTAGATGTTCGGCAATATAAAGATTGGGCATGTAACGAAATCTGGAGAAATAGCGGGGCCACGTACATTGGAGCACATGGTTGATGTTTATCTTCACTTGGAGGTAAGAGGTTTTTATCTTTGTTCGTTTATATTTCTTGTCTCTAGGGAGACCGTCTTTTGTCTCAACGGCTTCTAAGATCACTAAAAAATCGCTTCGCTTCTACGAAAGAGGTGACTGTCTTCCAGCATTTGCTTTTAAATTGAATCTCGCTGTTTTATCTTTAGTACAGGTCGGCGTGTTTGAGATGGTCGACAACGGTTTACGAGCGGTAGAAAATCCCAGTTTGAAGTTTCTTTCTGATAGAACTGGGGAGGACACTAATGCATCAGCCACCGTTGGGGTGGCTTTGGAAGGATCTCGGCCGCTGCTGGTTGAAATCCAGGTAAGCGACTTCTAGGATTTACGTTGGATGATGATACTTTTAGCCAAATCTGAGCGTTGTCTGGCTGCTCTAGCTTTCCAGGTTCAACGAGAGACCGGTGGTAGATTCTTTGGAATTTCCCGAGTTTCGAGTGAGCTGGACTGCCAAGAACCTCTGACTTGCCATGATCTGACTTTAAAACCGAGAAGCGTATCTGACAACGATCAAAAGCTAAAGTTTTCTCCGGCATGAACGCGCGTTTTGCAGGTCTTATGCTCTCCTGCCACTTCACTGCCAAGTAAAAGAACGTTCACTGGAGTGGATCCATCTCGATTCAATCTGATTGTTGCCGTAAGTCACTCCATAAATATTCTCCACTTTTGTGAGGCTTGACGCTGTGATGCCAGGTCTTACTCAAACAAGCACGCTTGAGACTTGCAAGACAGGTGCGTTCTATACTTTGTGATAGCAAAAGTTCTTATGCTGAAATACTGCTCTAGGATATTTTTGTTAATGTCGTTGGAGGCTTTCGTTTGGAAGAGCCCGCCACAGATATTGCTGTTGCCGTCGCTATTGCCAGCAGGTACTTTCTCTCGACTAGCTGGGCATACCAACTCACGAGCTTCGTCTTGCTTGCAGCTATATAGAAAGGCCGGTTCCTCGGGACACAGTCTTCGTTGGTGAGCTAGGACTCGGGGGAGAGCTGCGCTTTGTAAGTTCTTACGTGGTTTCTCACTTTTCAATGCTGGAAGTTCCGTCCATGCAGGTAGCTCAACTCGAAAGGCGACTGTTTGAGGCATCCAAGCTGGGTTTCAAGAAATGCATCGTCCCACAGGGTGCTAAAGGAGTCAAGGTGGACGGAATGGAGCTTATTCTTTGCTCGAGCCTCAAGGACGTTCTAGAGAAAGTCTTCAACTACAAGAGCCTGCCCCAGCAGCGAAAGAGTGGAGCCACGGTTCATTTGGATGCGTTTCCGGAAGAAGACGGGGTGTGTGGTGAGGTCCAAGTTGGTCAGGACGCTCTTGATGATGATCTTGCTAATGATAAGTAATAAGCTTTTGCATCGTAAAATTTTAATGTCACAGGTGTACATATAATCTAGGAGCTTATACGAATTGTAAATAACCATATCGCTCCAAGGATATAGATCTAGCAATACGATTGGCGGTCTTGATTGTTCTCTTAGCCTCAACAGGCATCACCCAGAAGAGGGTGGAGGGGCTGTGATTGTTGCCTACCTTGGACAGTGCTCGTGTGATCCCCTTCCTCGTCGTGCAGAGCTAGAACATTGCAACCTGGAGTGGCTGCTTGGAACCAGTGGCACGTAGAGGATTGGGCCACAAGAAGAAGAGTGAATCTTTATAAAATGACTAACTGTCATTGAAAATGGAGTTTGATCCAAGGAGAGGCAGGTGAGGACAATCGACTTTCAATGAATATGCTTGTTATTAATAATGTAAAATACATTGGCTTTTATTGTTTTTATATAAAAATAAGAAATTAAAATAGCATTATTTTAATTAAGATTATAGTTAAAATTATTCCTCCAAAATATTTTCTTAAAACCATTTTCATAAAATGTTACTATTAATTGTCTGGTATCTTTTATTTTTAAAATTGTAAATACTATATAGTTTGAGAAAAATACATTATTATTTTTCCATATAAGTGTAAACTCCTAAATTTGGATTTCCCGGGAAGTCACCAAAGCTTAGTATTATTCAAATCGAAAGATGTTTAACCCTAAATATCCCAAGACCCTTAATCAATTAAAAAAAAGGGTACATTTTTATTCCTAAGCCATTTCGTTCTATATTTAAACTATTACGGATTGTCTCTCGAATTGTTCCCTTTGGTTGCTTATAATTTATCATGTTTTTCTTATAAGTTCACACCCTCGTCAACAGAAGCTGAAAGTCATAACTCTTCTAACAGCCCCATTCTCTTGTTATAATCCGGCACAAAAAGACAAAGATCTAACTGCCCTAGATTATGCTATGCCACCTGTTTCAACCAAAAACAAGGTTCAGGGGACTCCGACTTTGAACCCAGGGCTACATCGGAGCCATAGATTAAATCATGCACAGCATATGGTATATGCTAGCAGTTAGAACCGCTAACATTTCAAAAGGGGGAATCCAAATTGTGGATCCCTATCTCCATTCCATCGTTTGTCTTATCAATACACAGCATTCTTTTACTCGTGCTTCTTCTCTGCCCTTGGAGATCGGGCCATTGTCTCTTTTGTTTTCTTACTAACAATAGATTTCCAGCGAAGAGGGGTTTTCTCACCTCTTCATTTGGCGACCACGGCTTCTGAATTCCCCTTCAGGTTCACAAATTCTTCCATTTTTTCTCCATTCTCTGTGCGCAGATAGCAAGAACGATCCAGAAATCTACCCATCTCGCCCAAATTCACCCAAATTACGCCCTAATTTGTACATTTGCCCAAATTCAACACGCAAATGCCACTGCCACCATGGATCAACGGCGTCCAAGCGGTTGCTGCCCAACGCAGTAAAGACAGAAACTTTCCAGAGGAGATCTTTGAAGAATCTGCAAGCTCTCTCTCGAGATCTCCAAGTCCAATCACCGATGAAGAACACCAACGACTCTCTTTGACAAGAAACTCCAATCTACCAGCACCTTCATCAGCAAACGCCCTCAGCAGCTTCATTGGCAAACTCCATCTCCGAGCACAAGACCACCCACTCCAAGTTCGAGACATCAACCAGCGCCCTCGACACAAACCGACACCACTACCGAAACGAGCCCATCTTCTGTGCAGTCGTCGACCCAGCAATCCTAGCGTTCCGACACAAGTCCAATTCCTGCGCCCACTCCAAATACCGAAGCACATCCTCAAAACCTACACCAACGACGAACCCATCACTCTGTTACCCGGTATCGGACAACTTGTCGAGGGACAACTTCAGAACGCACCACCGATTTTTCGACAACCCCTCCGACAAAGTCAGCAGCTCAGCACTGAAACAACAGTCCGAACTCGGTTCGAAATCAACACGTTCGCTGCAACAACTCTCGCCAATCACGCCATCACCCAATCCGGACTCGAACAACTCGACGACATTATCGAAGAAATCATTCCAGACAAACCCGAATATCCGAAACTCTTCATTGAACTCCATCTCGGCACCAGCACGTGGAAGACCAGTTTGCATACTGCACCAGCACACTCGACTCAACACAACTCGGCTGAACACAACCCAACCCAACACACACCACCGTCGATATTTGCACTGAAAAGAAAGAACAAGCTCACAACGACTTTATCAACAATTGGCCCATCGACAGTCTTCCCCAAGTTCTGCCCGAACTGCATGATTGACTGCAGACACAAATCTGACACCGACAACCAGTAGAAGAATGCATGTATCCAAAACCATGAAGAACATCCAGCAAGTCGGAAGAAGACCGACAATGGCTTATCCGACATTTAGATAGAGATTTGAAGAATTTAGAAACAAAGAGAAAGAAAGACCAAGAGAAGTTGAATCAAATTCTTAGACCCTCCAAGAGAGAGAATTACATCCGACACGAATTATTACCGCGAGCTAACTCCGACGAATCAGTATCGGACATCCGCGAAGAATACAACAACTACACAACACCACCGGACACACCACCGGCAGCACCCTCGACAGCACCCACCGAAGTGCCCGAGCCTGAATCAGCACCCTCGACGGCACCCACCAAAGTGCCCGAGCCCAACCGAACATTCGAGCAGTCGACACAGACTACGCCCGAGCAACAAAACATTTTTCAAGCAGCATACAACCACTTCAAAGGTACATTCACTAACCCGATCTACAGTGACGACGAACGACCAAGTTTCCAGCCCAGCTTCACAGACTTCACCAGACCAGCACCATTTTCGCCATACCGACCGATCTTCACAACACCAATATATCCTACATTTGCTTCCAACATCTACCGAAGCCCGCTATCAGCAAGACCTTTCGAACACGCTTTCGACTTCAACGCGCCGACTAGACAACAACTCGACTTCACCAATTACAGTCGCACTCCAATATACCCAGTCAGCAGCAGTAAAGACTAACAACCCGAATCGTCCAATAGTCAAGCACTCCACATCAACAACTCACAACGACCTGCCGAACAGCTACAATCATCCAACAACAACGAGATCGACGAACCAATTGTCGACGACAACAATCTTCCTCAGCAACCACAATCACCACACAACTATACGATCGAAGAACTCTTTGACAATTTAGAAGAACAACCACAACCAACACAACATAACTCCGACAAGTACGTCGACAACAAGTTCGAACACCATCTTCTGAAAATCAACACCGGCAAGCAACCCGACACCGACGACTACGACGACGTCGAAGACACACCCGACAACAGTCCCA